GGAAGGAAGGAAGGAAGGAAGGAAGGAAGGAAGGAAGGAAGGAAGCAGACACTCAGGGTTTTCACCAGGGACCCGTCCCCAATACTCTCAGGCTCTGATATCACCATATTTAGCACATCTGTTTTCATCCTCAACTTTGTTCTCTCAAACTCACAAGATGTCATGTCCTCATAGAATTGTGACTCCATATAGGAACTTTACTTTCTTTCGGGTTTCCATAAAAATCAAGGACTCATACGACTTATTTGGGAACTGATTCTGAAGCAGAAGTGGATGACTCGAAAGCATGCGATAGTGACCAAGAATAAATCAATGTAAAGGAATGTCATTGAGGCTGTGCCTCTGGATACCAGGAGCAGCACCCTGCCTGGATCTACTGGGACGCATGCAGACTGAGGCAGAGTATCCACCTGGAAGATGGAGCTTCTCAAACCTTTCCCGCCATTCCCCTCCCAGGTCACTGGACGTGTTGGGAGTGTCAGCAGAGAGGGTGGAAGGGGATTGCAGATTCTCAAGCAGAAATGAAATGACAGTGTTGGGCTTGATTGGCTTGCTGTCCTTTCAAAGTGGGTTTGAATGCTATAAGGACACCCATTTTTTTTCGGTATAACGTCTTCAGGTAACTGCCCTGTGCTATCTGCTGCCTGGATATCTGAAGCAAGAGGCTTAGTGAAGTGCCCCTTTTTGTTCTGCTTCATGTAAAAGCTCTTCCAGCCGAGAGCATCCCATGTTATCATGGGGTCAGGGACTGCTAGCTGATCCCTGAGTAATGAAGGTCCCAGGTCCTTGTTAGACCCCAGACTTATCCAAAGAAGAGAACGTCATTCTCTTCTGGGCACCAGGGCATGCCCCTCCCCCACTTCTTGGTGCTACAAAGGCAGCCACCTACAGCCTCACTTTCACTGCTCCAGACCATACCACTTAACATGCCTTCCTCGGGGGATGGTGTTCCTTCTTCTGAGACTATGAGTATATACATCTAACAAGCTGTTATCAATCTCATCCTTCTAGAGTTAGATCTCACCAGTCAGCCACCCCTTTGGCCCTATAACAGAATCTCCTCCCTCACCGATAGGGTGAAGAGGACAATCAAGATAGCTAAGACTCTTCTTCAGGTGACCTTAAAGAACCTGAGTGGTGTTATGCAGGCTATGGGAGGCATCTAAACCAGTAGCAATGGTGTGGGGTTGTCATCACCCCAGCAGGAATTCATGACATGTTGAACTCTTCCTAAAGTTTCCAAGCTCTTCCTTGGTCTACAACCTGCCCTCATTGAAGATTAGGTGTATGTCGTCGAATGGACTGTCATGTCAGGAATCTCCATTAATACAAAACTCTTAAGCATGCCAGGCCACTCCTCATGCTGTCCAGTGCCTTGTTGCATAATTAGTAAAATGTGCTGGGTGACTTTTCCTGAAGAGACATGAGAAAACATCCATTCCCCTAAGATAGGGCACTGATTATAAACCAAAGAAACGATCACACTCAAGGGGAACACAAGGGAGTCACCTTCTTACCTCTGAATAAATTGCTGGCAAATGGCAATTGTTGTAATTTAAAAAGAGCTCTCACATCGGTTTTAAAATTTTTTTTTATTAGTTCAAATTAGGAACAAGCTTGCTTTACATGTCAATCCCTCCCCTCTCCTTCCCTCCCCCCCACCCCTCCCTCCCAGCCTCCCACCTACTCCCCACCCCATCCACCCTTCACTTCCCAGGCAGGGTAGGGCCTTTGATGGGGTTCCCCCAAAGTCCACCACATCATCCTGGGCTGGGCCTAGGCCCTCCCACATGTGTCCAGGCCGAGAGAGCATTCCTTCAAGTGGGATGGGCTCTCAAAGTCCCTTCTTACACCAGGGAAAAATACTAATCCACTACCAGGGGCCCCCTAGAGTGCAGAGGCCT